CCTCCGCCCCCTCCCCCCCTCCTCTCTCTCTCCTTCTTTACATGTTTTGCTGTATTCTTATGTATTATTATTAGTTTTTTCTTTTTTTTTTCTTTTTTTCGTGTCCGCCCAATAACTTACCTCGGAAAACTATATATGCGCGCGCATGCGCCAAGCTACATCCATATACCTCTACGTATAACTTTCGCTATCCTCGCGGCTTTTCGCAGGCCTGTTCATTGACGCAGTGCGTGCACGTGCCTCAATGTCTATTATTATTCTTGCTATTTATGCACCGTCGTATAGCGAATATGATGGGTACGGCCACATACGTGTATGCGTGTGTGTGTGTGTGGGGGGGGGGTAGATAATGTATAATACTAGTGTGGATGTACAATATGCATGTATGTATATATATATGTAGGTTCAACTATGTATGCATACGTGTATATATGTATATGTACAGTGTGTGCATGTATTACATACGCGGGCGTGGGCGGGTGGGTCCTTATTTTGCGCTAGGGACGCCCCTCCCCCCACGCTCACACACGCACACACACACACACACAGAGAGAGAGAGAGAGAGAGACTCAGAAGGCACAAGGAAGAGAAAAGCCAAAATGCGACACGGCGAAAATGCTGAGCTGCTTTTTATTTACGTCACTTTGCTTTACCTTATTGCTATTTCATTCACTTCCGCGTTTTTTTTTTTCTATCACCCCCCGGTTGATCTTGGCAGCTGCGGCTCTCTTGATTCATGTGGGTTCTATTTTGTTTTGTTTTATTTTTATTTTATTTTATTTATTTATTTTTTCTCTCTCGCTGCTTTTTTCTCTTCTGCGTTGGCTCCGCGTGCCTGCTTTTTTTGGGGGTTTCCCACCGTCCTTTCACGCCTCTCTTCGCGTGCGCCGCCCGTACGGCGGGGCGGGGAGGTTGCGCGGGTGTTTTTGGGGCGCAGTGTTTCTCGCGGAGGCTCTGGGCGTGCCGCCGCCGTTACGTGCGTGCGTGTTTTTTTATTTTTATTTTTATTTTTTTCTTCTCTCTCACTTGGCGTTCGCCTTCCACACGCACACGCGCGCACGCACCGGCGAGGCACGACGGCAGCTGCGGCGTGTGCGTGTGGAAGAGGGGGGGGGGGATTTTTGCTGCCCCTCCCCCACACAGTCTTCTCTCCGCGTCTGCCGCTCTCGCGCTTTTCCGCGGCGCCTCCCCACCAGCGGAGAAAACCCGCGGCGTCGCACAGAAGGAGAATCCGCGAGCGAGCTGCGAGAGCGAGGGAAGAAAGAAGGGCCGGGTGAGACAACGAGGCAACGAACGAAAGAAAAAACCATCACCACCGCGAACCACAACAGCTGAGGGGCTGTTTTTTTTTTTGCATTGTTATTGTCCTGCAAGAAAAGTTAGTTAGTTGTTTTACTTTATTTTTCTTTCGGGCGGCCGCTTCCCTGCTGTTTGTCCTCGAGATTTTGCTTCACACGCGTCGCAGCTGCCTTTGCGCGGCCCCTGGCGGCACCGCGGCGTGGACGGACGCCGGACGCACAGGCAGCGACCGGAGAAGAGTGTGTGGGAGAGGCACTTCCCCCTCCCCCGCGCCTGCGCCGTCTCCCAGGCACTTCCCCTTCCCCCGCTCCCCATCCTTTGCCCCTGCATTTGTTTTTATTTTTATTTCTTCGGGCGTGACGGCGGAGGGAGAGCGAGCAAAGCTGGCCAACAACCCCAAGGCATCCTCCCGGGAAGGATCAACATCCCCGCCCCCACTGCCGCAAAAGCAACAACAATCGTCCACCACTCATGTAGGCGGCACTGCCGTGTGTGGGGAGGACGCCGACTTCACCGAAGACGGCGGCGGTGACGGCAGTAGTGGTGGTAGTAGTAGCTGCAACACCACCGACAACAACAGCCACAGCGACGGCAACGGCGCCACCCATCAACTGAGCACCACAACTGCCCAGAAGAACACCAAAAAAAACGGCGATGCTTCTGGTCGCAGGGAGATGGCCCGCGCGACGGAGGCGCTCTTGAGTTTGTGCCGAAGGCCGCGTCCCGCCGTGGAGGCGCACTGGAGCAGCAGCGGCACCGACAACACCCAAGGCGCGGGCAGGCGCGACAACCTTCCACTGCCCCTCACCGGGCCGCAGCACCCCTCGTTGTCTGGATCGCCAAACACGGCGTTGCCCAGTTCCAGCGTCACGGGCGCCGCCTCCTCGTTATCGTCGCTTGCCGCCCCACAAACACCACCCACCGCCGCCGCCGCGACCCTGCTCCCGGGGCAGGTTGCCTTTCTCACTTCCGTGGGAGAAATGGCGAGGCGCGTGGCACTGCGGCAGAAGTCCATGCACCGCGGCGAGGAGCATCACGGCAGCCGCCAAGGAGGCGAGATGGAGTGGTCCGTCCTGCGCCAGGGGGAGGCGCCGCTCTCCGTGAGTACGCTGGTGCGGGAGGAGGGGCAGCGGGTGCGGATGCGCTTCATCCCGGGAGCCCCGTCGCGGCAACAGAGCCACCGTTTAAGGAACCACACGCACGCAGGCGCGGCCGAGGGAGAGGCGGAGGGCGTCACAAAGAAGGCCACTAAAAACGACAGAATGAGCTTCAGCGGGGACCGTCGGGTGGCGGATATCCAATACGATCAGCCCGTCAGCCTGTGCACGATTATTTCTTGCTTCGCTCCGCCGAAGGAGTCATACTGGCAGGATGATCGCCTTGTTGAGCCCTACCCGGGTGAATACTACGGCGCAGGCGGTCAGCGTCGCCGTGGCAACAGAAGTGACGACAACAGCACCACGGCGAGGCGAGACGATGGCGGCACTGGCAGCGACCTCGGGGATGAGGGCAGCTGCGGCCTTGACGTGACCGACACGGGGGAGAGCAGCTCCGACTTTGAGTCCTGCGATGGACCGGAGTGCCTGCTGCAGCGACGGGGCCGGAGCGAAAAGGCAATGCGGTCGTACGGTAAGCTGCTCACCCAACTCCGCGGCAGGAGTGACCCCGTCTTTCACAACGCCTTTTTCCTGGACACGGGCACCATCAGCTGCGGGGAGCGCCGCAAAAAACTCATCGCGCTGCAGTCCTACCGCGCCTCGGTTATCTCGTTTGTCGGCGGCAAGGTGCAGATAAAAGACAAGAACAACGACTTCTACGTGCAGCATCCGGAGCTGGAAATGCGCGGGATCCAGCTCACGCACTTGCACGAGGCCCGCAACGATTTGATTTACTTCGTCATCGAAAAGTCGTCCCCGATAGAGTTGGTCACCGCCGCACACGCCAACTGGTACTTTGAGAGGCTTGTCATGCGCGGGATGGTGGGCGAGCGCAACCGCGGACGCGCGCTCGCCGCATGCCTGCTCCTTGCCGTGAAGTTCCTCGAGACAGGCGACATCTACCGGAAGATTCAGCACCTCAAGACACTCGTCCGGGTGGACGAGGCGTTTGCCGGGCTGACGTGGCAGCAGGTGCAGGAGTGGGAGTTCCGCGCGTACGTTGGACTGGAGTTCACGCTGATGCCGGAAAAAGGCAATCACGTGATCGAGGCCCACATGGAGCGGCTGCTGGGCGTATACAATCTCACGTCGCAGGAGTACTACAGCAAGAACTTTAAGTTCCCCTCGTAAGCAAGAGAGAGAGAGAGAGAGAAAGAGAAAGAGGAATGCATTCTACATAATATATATATATGTCTCTCTATATATATATATGGATGTATCTGGGCAATGTGCTGCGAGGCCCATTTTACGCGCGCGGCTGTGCGAGAGCGTGTGGGGGGCGGCAGCCGAGCGGGAGAGCCACCGCAGCCTCGCCTCGCCGAGAGGCGGCAAGGCACGGCACGGAAAGGGCGTAAGGGCGCACACCGGAGAAGCGCCGATAAAAGTGGTGGACGGAAGGCATCCAAACCAACTACAACAAAAAACAAATATAAATAAATAAATAAAACAAAGGGGGGAGAGGCACATTTGTTGTTGTTGCTGTTTATTTGCTTTTTCATGCGTGGACGGGGGAGAACGTACACCCACACACAACAGAGAAAAAAAGAAAAGGGCAGACACACACACACACACACACACACACGTAGGAAACACAAAAGAAAGTAAATAAAAACAAAACGGAAGAAAGGAAAAGTAAGCGGAGAGAAGCTGCGGTGTATGTGTGTGCGTGTGGGCTGGTGGCGGGGACGCCAAGGCAATGCGTGTGTAGTGGCCGTTGCGCCTCCACCGGTGCATGTACGTCAATCATAAATATATAATATATATATATATAGCTGTAGGCGTTTCTGTGTGTATGTGGGTGAGTTGTGGCCGCCTGAAATAAGTAGCAGTTACTTTTTGTGTACGTTTTTTTTTCTCTTTTCGTTTTGCGTTTTAAATTCATTTATGAGTTCCACTTTATTGTGCCCATCGTTAATTGTGCGTCGCCGCATTGTGGAAGGCTGCGGGAGCTGGAAACGAGAAAAACAGCAACATGTAGAGGCGTGGGGTGGGGGCGAGCAGGGGCTGAACGGCGGCAAAACACACAAGTGGAGAGGAGGAATAAATAATTCGCACACAACATCCCCTCCCCTCCTGTTGGCGGAAGGGGCAAAAGCGAAGAGGGTTCTCTTTCTCTGCGGGTGAAAAGGGAGTGCTTCTTCTCTTTTCGCCCGTTCGCTGTTGCCCCAGCCGTAGATGAATGGTTGTTGGGGGTGGGGGGAGAAGCAAGCCGCCGAGGAGGCAGTCCGGCAAAAGTAGCGGGCGTCCGCAGTGCCCTGCGCTAACACAGGCGTACGCGCGTCCTCGCACACTTATGCGCATGCAAGCATATGTAGAAGTGCCGTGTGCTTGGCGGGTCGTTTTTTTTTCTATTTTCTTTTAGTTTTGCTTTTTTTCCTTGTCGCCGTTTTCCCCTTTTTTTTTTCTCCTTCCCGACCACCTCCCTCCCACCGTTAGTTTGTATTCCCTGCTTCCCCGCACCACCGGCGGGGAACGTTGCACCGGGCTCCGCGTGTTCTCAATGCGTGGCGGCAGTTTGCTGAGACTCTTCCCCTCCCCTCCCCTCCTCCCCCCCGCACTTCGGGTGCTTGCGGGGAGCCCCCGAGGCGGCGAAGCAAAGATGCGCTTCCTGAGCTGCTGCCGCTGCTCCATGCCCTTTAACACCGCCATATATATATTTTTTTCCATCCCTCTTCTCCTTGGGCGCCTGTTTTTATGTGTCGCACGCTTCAGGCAGGAACGTGAAACTACCTGAGAACCGCGGAGGCGGGAGGGCTGCCGCTGCGTTGATGAAAGGGTCGCAAGTGCGTGCAGGCGGCCCTGAGGTCGCCGCCAGAGCCTTTCCGCTGACACTTGCCTGCTGGGGGCGCTGCGTCGGCTGGCTGCTGCGGCAGCGCCCGTCAGACACGGCCGCCGCTGCTGCCGCCGCAACAGCCATCGTCCCCGCCCGAGAGCTGCTGGAGAAGTTTATCGTCGCCCGCTACACGGAGCCGCAGCGACACTACCACACGATGGCGCACCTGGAGGAGATGCTGGGGTGCTTCGAGCGGTTCCAGTCCGAGGCCCCAGTGGCGCACCGGCTGCCCGCGGCGGACCCACGACGCGTCGTGCTGGAGTTGGCGATCCTCTTCCACGACGCGGTGTACGACCCAAGGCGCGACGACAACGAGGAGTGCAGCGCGGCGTGGTTCCAGGCCTTCTGGGTGGACGCCCAACGAATGGCGACGGCGACGGCAGCGCAGGCGTCCCCGTTGGCCTCCGCGGAGGCGCGGGGGAGCGCCGCCCCGCTGCTCTGGGACGACCCCGGCCTCGCACGGGAGGTGGAGGAGGAGGTGGTGCGATTTATTCTCCAGACGAAGCACCACATCTCACTGGAGCCGGACCACACGCACCGGGCGCCTGAGTCTGGCGACCCACCGCCGCCGCCGCTGCATATATTTCTTGACCTCGACCTCGCCATTCTGGGCAATGCGGCGGTGCGGTACCAGCAGTACGCACTCGACATCCGAAGAGAGTACGGCTGGCACAGCGAGGCAGACTTTTGCCGCGGCCGGGCCGCATTTCTGCGAGGCCTCCTGCAGCACCCAAAGTGGTATAAGACGAAGTTTTTCTGCGACGCCCTGGAGGCGAGGGCGAGGGCGAACGTTGCTGCCGAGGTTGCGACGCTGGAGGCACGACTGCGACACTTGCCGCCTCCCCACGAGCAGCCCTGATATGCGGGCAATTGGCGCCGATGCTGAAGCTCCTCGTGGTGGCACTTCTGAGAGGGAACACCAGCCGATGCTGTGGAATGGGGAGGGGTCGCGTCGCCGCTTTCGTTCCTTCTTTGAGTGAAGTTTTTTTTTTCTTTTTGCCTATCTACTACGCGCGGTCTCTTCTGCCGGTTTCCGCCTTCGCCTTCGCCTGAGAGAGAGAGTGTGTGTGTGTGTGTGCTTGTGTGCGCCTGTCTGTGTGGTTGCCGTCCCCTCGGCTCCCCACCCTCTGCCGCCGCCGCCGCCGCTGCGGGGCGCCGTGCGACGTCATTACTCCCACCGCCTCTCATTCTCACCCTGGGCGTGGCACCGTGAACCGCGGCAGTCCATTAACACCGCTACCACTTACCACAACAATAAGTAAGGAATAAGATCGAAGATTTTTTAATATTTTCTTCTCCTTGATCCTCGAACAGCATCAATGTCTGACTTTGACAGGTTTGTGAAGCTCCTCGGGCTGACCGACGGCCGCGACAAGATCTACAAGTTCCTCAGTGGTGTGCTGAATGTTCTCGACAGCATCGACGCCGTTGACTCCCGCCGGGTTGCATACAAGTCGGTCAACAAGTCCATCAAGGACGGCCGCTCCCTGCTGCGCATGGCCAAGTGGACGGGCAATGTGCCCAAGATGCACACCATCGTTAAGCACTGCGCAGAGAAGCGCAGCCTGGAGCTGAAGAAGGTGATCGAGTTCCTGCGTGTCCTGGGCGACTTCTTCTACGTCATTGGCGACAACATTGGCTTCCTCGTCCGCTACAAGCTGCTGCCTGGCGACTCCAAGAGCATCCAGTACCGCAGCAAGGTGGCGCAGTTCTGGGGCTTCTTCTTCGCCGCGGTCTTGGACCTCTTCGCGCTGCGCGGTGCGCTGCTGAAGCGCGCTAGCGACGCCGCGACGAGCCGCAAGGAGTTGAAGAGCGCCCTGCTCGGCCTGACGAAGGACGGCTCGGACGTGCTCGTGACGATGGCCTCCGTCGGCTACATGAAGGGCGCCTGGTCCCCGAGCCCGGTGACCTCTGGCACCCTCACCGCCGTCTCCGGCGCCGTCGCGACGTACCTGAACTGGAAGAAGGTGAAGTGAGGCGGGGCGGAGCGGGCGTTTCGGTGAAACTCAAAGGGGGGGGGGTTATATAAAAAAAAGAAACGAAAAAAAGCAGCAACGACGAAAAACAAAGAAAAAAAAACGGGCAAAAGAAAATAAAATAATGGGAAGATAGAGAGAGAGAGACAAGAGGTGTGTCGAAGGAAAGTGCAAATGATAATGGAAAAAATAAAAACAAAAAACAAAATAAACAAACAAACAAACAAACAAAAGACCAGACAAAACAAAAGAATTGGGAATACGATATATATATATATATATATGTATGTGTATGTGTATATATATATATATAAT